CACTGCCTTTTCAGAGCAGTGCTTCCTGGGGCAGTGCTGCACATTGTGCATCACTGACATTCAGTGTCTCCACATTGATTCAATGCATCTCAATGAGGAGTTGCTGATTGGACAGGCGGCGTTTGGTTTTGCCACCCTGGCCCTCCTCCTTGACTGAGATCATCAGAATTGACCAGCTTAGTCAATCCTATGGGAAAGCATTGTGACTGGCTGAGATCATCACTTCTGGTGATGTCAGCTAAGGAGGCAGATCACGGGCAGAGCCAGAACCAGCAGTCTAGAATAAAGGTAAGGTTTTACTACATTTAGAGAGGCAAGGGGAGCTAGATAGTGTTTTAACACTATAGGGTCAGGGAAATGTGTATTCCTTTAATATTCTGTTTCAGACATGGTAAATGAACATTCAGTCTCATTGAATGGGATTAGCGGGATTAACAATGATGGAACATAAGGAATTGTGAAGGCTTGTGAATGGTTAGCAACCAGTTATGTATTTTAACACTGCTTTGAGGGCAATCAGCTGTCTAAACCATCTGGCCAAATATCCCTTTGTATACAATTGGTAAGAGTGGAAATGGGAAGCAGGAGATCAGAGGGAGGAGAGGAAGACACAAATTAACATTTTCATGGTGTATTCTTATCTTAAGTCCCTGGGAGGGGCACTTGTTATTTTAAGTAAGTCCAATGTCTACATTTTCCATCAAAGGACTTTAATTTTGCATATATCTGTCAGTGTGGCATATTAGTTGTGTGGTTAGTGATTCCATGCTACTGATTTTTTCCACTTTTGTCACTCATTGCTGGAGGGTAGGCACCTCTCTCCATTTTTAAAACAGAGGGATAAGTAATTTCACTGCATTTAGAAGTGTGAGTGCCTTTTAATATTTTGAGATAGGGAGTATAGTGTGATATAACAATTTGGGTAGGGGACAGAAATGCAAATCAATGAGATTGTGGCATGACTCTGTTTCCAGTAGAGAATTAACTGAGGGTATGTTAACCAAATGTAAAAGCCTGTTCCATTCCCCCCCACACATACACATCTCCATCAACAATGAATGTGTCAATAGCTTGTATCCCTTCTCCTGCATCTTAGAGCATATAGAGCCTTGGTGCATTAGGATGAAAATCTCCCATTTTCATTCCGTCAACTGCTGGTTCACATCCAACTCCCAGCGTGTGGTTAATTTCAGAGATAGTCCTGGTATGGTATTTTTCAGGAGGGCATGTAGGGTGAATATACACCTAATCACATGCTCTCAGGAGGAACAGAATGTCCAAATTTGGGTCTGATCCCTATTAATTTTTTTTATTTGGAGTTGAGTCTTAGAACCTTCAGATTTGATGATATCTATATTTATATATTGCCCTTTGGAATGCCATCTATCATGGTCAGCAAGGGGTGTCAGCTCATCTGGATTACACCATTGTCTGTTGTAGGTCCAATCTGACGTTCCCAATGCCTAAGGTTCAGTGGGTATGAGCCCACCTGCAATGTCCAGGTTATGTTTTATTGGTGTAAGTGAAATGGGTGTCGTAGATAGTTGAACAGGGAACCGGATTGTTCACCATATTTTAATCATAGCTCATGTACATGGGTTGCTCAGCTTTAGGCCTCATAAGGCAGTCTGATCCCCAAACCACAGAGGGAATCTGTCCCATTGCCTGTCTTTTCTCCAGATCTATTCACAATTTCTGGGTAGATGACACATGCCAGTCAATCACACTCAATAAGTGAGTCGCTTGGTGGCAACACATAATTGATGACAACCCTCCACCTCCATGCATGGGAAGGTTGTGTGTGCCTAATTCTTGGGGCACCTTTATGCCTGATGTATTGGAGTATCGAAGAACTTGTATCTTTAAATGGTTTTCATGTTTAGATGTTTACTTTGTATTATTGCCGATATATTTACTCACATATACAAATCGCTAAACTGGATTTATTGTAATTTGACATTTAGCTTTTCTACATTTAGCTTGTTCAAGTCAGCTATGCCTCCAGTTCAGTTACTTTGGCCTTAAATTTGAAATTCTATTTGAACAGAGTATAAATATTTGTACAGAAATGTTGTTTGCTCCTCTAAAGTTTGAGACCAAAGCAGCAAACCTACAGCTTCAGTTATAAGTAAGTCTCATAACCTAAACATTGAGTAAAGGTTGTTGTGGTGCCAAGTGTGTGCGTTTAATAACATACTATGATTCAGAGGAATGAGACTGAGTACTTACTTGCTAATTTTTAAAATATCACCAGGTTTAAGACAATACTTCTCTTGCAGCTTAGAATGGTTTCCATCATGTAGTATCAGCCGGTCGTTGGCAAGCAAAACATGACGCACTATTTCTCCAACATACGTCAGACTGACCATCTTTTCAAAACTGCATGAGGTATGAAAAGCAGTGAGGGCTACCATCCAATATGACATGATAGATGTTTTACACTGGGGAAGTATGTATATGATATCAATAGATAAAGTAATATATTGCCACTACTGAAAATGACCTCACTTACATTCTAGCTGATTATCATTATCATTCATTTATCAGCTGTTTATAGGCTCCCGATAAGCCATTAGGTTTGCAATTTGGTTTTAATTTTGCTGCAAACTAGCATTTAATGACTAATGATGGTCTCATCCAATCAGTGGCCATCCAGTTAACCCCAAAGTGCATTAAACTAACTTTATGATTTTTTTACATTTTTTGGCTTTATTATTCCTATAGTTAAACATATTTTTTTTCTGCTGTAAAACTCCACTTTATATCTTCTGGGGTTCTTCCTTGCAAATCCTGCAAATGTATTCACTTGCCTTCCTTGCGCTTCTATTCGAAGCTACAGGACATAACTTCTTTAACGGGTGTAATAAATTAACATCAAAGAACATTAATGCAAAAAACAGGTCACTATGTAAATTCTCATTTAAAGTGTGTAATTTATTTACAGGTAGTCACAGCAAGTGACCTACATGCCAGCAGTGTAACCGAATGGTGTACCAGACAAAACACTTGCTCCCAAATTACATTTATGGCTTTAAATTGTCTAGGGGTTTAAATAATAACTCTAAATAACTCTAAACATGACAAACAAGATGAGCATTTTTGCAAAATACAGAAACACTCCATTGAATTAAGTTGTTATGGTGCAGGAGGTCCCTCGGGCCAGATTACCTTTAAGGGTTAAACCATTCATGAACCCCGAATTCCAAAGTTTTGCATACAGGACTATTTAGCTCTGTCCCAAGCCTTCCACTGTATCTCTAACCATCAAATAGGGGCACTGCTGGTTGGTTGGTAGTGTCAGCTGATGTTCTAAGCCAGTCAGTAGTTCCCCATTGATAAAAATGGCTTTGTATTATTCTCAAGCTGTTTTGTGAATGGGAAATTACTGATCAGCTGATGCTGTCAGTCAATTAGCAGCATCCCTGTCCGAGGCAGTTTGAGGCTTCCTGTTTCAAAATCAGAGAGCCGTGGAAGGGCAGGGGTCAAGCTAAAGAACGCTGGATTAAAAACTTTAGGGTTAAACCATTTGTGAACTGTAACCCTACACAATAACAACTTAATTCTGATGATGTTTTCATGGTGCCCAGGGGGTCCTTTGAAGTGGTATTTCTAAGGTAATTGTCTCAAACTTCACAAAAACTTCCCAAATTATAATATCATAGGCAATCTCACCACTGAATTCCTCGTTTCTCAGACTCCTTATCTACTTTTTGATCGTATATTGTAGAGATAGACTGAAGATCTCCGTAATCACCAAATGAGCCCCACTCCACTTTCACACACCGTCTCCAGCTATTTAAGTCATCCTCATTCCCCTTCGTATTTTCCATTTCCATATAACAAACATTACTACTGTTGTCTGTAGCAAGAGAAACCAACATGTGATCAGCTCATACATGAATGTGTTACATAGGTGCATTATTTAGATAAAAAGTAAAAACCATCACATTTTACTATTCTCTCATCAGGGTAGGTTTCAGGGAAATAATTTCATGGGAAGTTCAAATAATTTGAAACAGATTAACAGATTTGATCTTCACATTGCAATAATTTATATAAATAAGATATCATAAAAAAATATTCCCATTGCACACTGCATGTGTAACGTGTCCTGACTGCATACAATGCCCTCTAAAAGATTTCGGTGATAAGAGGTACAAGGACAATTAATATCATTTTAAACCGTACGTCCCCCCCCCTCTTGCTCCCTGGACTTTCTGGTGGTGGGACTATACCCAATGCACTCACCTCTGCTTGTCAGTTTTTTCCAACTTTTCTTTCAGTGCTGTCACAGACGGGAAAGGACTAAGATACCACAAGTCCCTAGATAGGTTACCATTTGGGGTCATTTAGGGCCAAGCACATTTATGGTTCCAGGGCATCTGTCTCACCCTGGGCCCTAGTCAACTGCGTAGGGTCTCCTTAAGGTTAAACCTGCTCTGATCACAATTGTCAGTTACTTTACTGACCAACTTCTAGAACAACCTGAACCTCAGAAGTTGAGCATATGAAAGGGGTTCCTGATGCCTAATGCACTGGGAACCAAACTATTGGACTGCTATATCTGTTAGTTAGATCAGAGGCAAAATAATGAAGTAATGAAATCTGTTATTTTAAATGGGAGGCTTGGGAACAGTGCAGTCATGTGTCTGAATTAAAATTGCCTTTGGAAATGACTGTGAAGTCAGTATATATAAAATCAAGAATACATATTGCACCAAACAATAGAAAATTGTGTTTCTAAATAACACTGCTAAACTGTTAAAAAAAAAAAATCAATCCAACTCCCATAACAGCTACAGATTATTGAAGATGTTATGGGGCTGGAGTGTCCGGGCAGCGTTTTACCTCCAGGGGTTAAAACCTCTTCCAAGGTTTAACCGGGAAGTCCCCCCCCATGCGCCTAACACTCCAGCCGGTGATGCACTCGGCCTATCACTGCCTATTGAGAGAAATAGTATGTCCTGAGTAGGGCTGGATTTCCCATAAGCCCGCCGACGCTATGGTCTCGGGAAGACAGACAGGGGAGTGGTGGCACTGCTGGAACTCTGTAATGTTGTTGATTCAGTAGGAGTACTTGGGCGACAAGGAAAAGTGCTCATTCCCCTTCTCGCCCAGCGCCCACAGAGGCAGGTCCTCTCTTCCCAGCAGTCAGCCAAAGGAACTGCAGGACAGCATGCGGAGATGACATCAGCGTCATAACCTGTGTGAACTCCTGAAACCAAAGAAGCAGCAAGAATATCTCCTCTGCTCAGGCTCGTTCTGGGATACAATAAGTATTGATATTATTTTGATTTCTGCTTTCCACAGAGGCTCTTAGATCCTGCAACATACTGTGAAAATCCTATCTCGTCTGTAGTTTTGTATATAGAGGTCGCAAGTAGTCCTATTCCCTATAAACAATTTTAATTCAAATTAAACAATACCAAATTTGTCTTATTAATATAAATGTTGTATTCCTTTAACTTTGTGTTCACTTATTTTTAGCCATTTTATCCCTTTCTGTTACTCTAAACACTATATCCTCCTGATAACCAGCCCATTAACACGTGTCCTCCGTACTGGACTTTTTGTTCACATGCATCTCCTTTTATTTGTTTGAGCTACTCTATCAATCCCTGCTGTATTGTAAAGAGGGCATCCTGGGCTTTCCACTGATATGTAATGTGATTGGCTGGGATGCTGGGGACTTCCTAGGTAGGAAATCACACAAAAAAGAATTTGGAAGACATTTTATTTCCCTTGGTTCCCAGGAGGATATTGCACTTACCTACAATGAGGCCAGCTTCACAGTCAGAATGGTTGAAACCACAATTCATCATTGTTCCAACAGTGTCATTAACAAAAGTGATATGTTTTGGTTCATAATTCTAGAAAGAAGGGAAATTGCATAGAAACATAAAAATTCTCAGCCTTGCATAATAGTGTAGCCTATATTAACCAGCAGAGAACAGTGAAGTGGAGCTAAGATTTTAGAAGATCAGTACAAAGAACATCGTCAGGAGTAGGGTGGAGGGTTTACAATGAATAGAGCTGTTAAGTTAAAGAAACTTGAGAGAGCTTTGAGACAAATCAATATTGAGTTAGTCTAACAATATTGTTCAGTTACACTCAGAGTTTAAGATAGCTGAGCTTAAAATATTTAGATAACTGAGCTTAAAATATTAAGTTAAAATGTATATTTATTTATAAGGTATATGTATGTTTAAGTGTATAAATGTTCATGTAGTCTGGATATGCAGCATTTAATATAAACTCCAGTCTTACCTCTTGCTTAAATATGGCCTTACGTAGTAACTGCACCATGTTCCTATTTTCCACTCCTTGATAAAAAACTCTTTTTGACCATGAGATGAGAATGCTCTGATTAAAGACATCGATATTAAAAGTTATTTTCATCATGGTCCAAACAATAAAACAAAATAATAATATTGCATTGATTACAAGGTTGGTTATTATTTTCTTGCACGTAAAACACCAACATGTTCTGCAGCAATGTACAATTTAAAGGAGACCACTCAAGTTAGCACATAATAATAAATACCTCCCAGCACAGACATATTTGTTCAAAAGCAGCTTATTAAAAATGTATTCATCATTTTTTTTTTTTTCAGTTAACATTTAATGAGGTGCTGAGAGGTCATGGGCATAACAATGAAAAGATATCAATGTCCTAAATACAAAATACTGAAATACTGTTTCACCAGTCATTTAAAATACAGTGTTAATGTCAACCAGACTAAACATGTTCTTTATGAAAGAGAACTACAGGAAAACAATATCTTGTAAAATGAAAAAGAAGGATGGAAAGTGAAAATAAAAGTAGGCAGAGCTGTACCTAGGTTACATGGCACCCGGACAGATATGTATATTGGCACCCCTCATCCTGAACTATAGAATGTGCCCTTACGAATCCTTTTGTAAAGGAAATTACACACATACATTCATTCACACACAGACTCATATGCACATATTCACATTAATATACACAGTCAAACACTGACACTCACATTCGATATATATATAATATAAATCAGTTCCTCTGGTGTCTGGTGGATTGCTGCTGGGATCACTCTGTGCACCGATTGCATGGATCCCTGAAGTTCTTTACCGATCCCTGGGCTGGGGTGATGTTATATCCCGACTTCCAGCATTAGTACAGAGAGACAAGATAGCTATGCAGCCATTGCCTAGACTGAATCCAGCAGCACCCCAGATATCCACTCAACAGTCTAATCAATGCTCTACTTAAGCTCTAAACCAGCAGAGCAAGAACTTGCCATCGCCAGTGGACATGTACCACCAGGAGCAGATAGTCTCCATTGACCCTGCCCTAGGAGCCCCTGTGAGTAGGAGTTTAGCTTGAAAGGACAGGGAAGTTAGGAAGAATAGGAAAGAAAAGGGTGCACAGAAACAGTATAGGAAGTGGAGGCATGGAAGTTGAAGATGTTCCGAATAGTGGTGCAATTCTAAATATGAGTAATGGCATGTAAAAGAGTTACTCCAAACACCGTGACCACTTCAGTATTTTGAAATGATCATGGTGCAAGCATTCTGTGTGTGCAGCTGTTCTCCAAGCAACATTGCACATGCAGAGATATTTAGGTTAGCTGCCGGAGGAGCTTCACCGGTGGCATAACGACTAGCCAGCCCAGAATGAGAGTTTCGGTCTGACTAATGTCAAATCTGGATTTATTCTACGTATAGACTTTAATTCATTGACTGAGAGTGCTCAGCTGATTTGGCTTTTGCTGATGGAAAAAAGCAGAATGCAGTTCAGCTGCCAATGAGGGAGGCTTAGCGTCTGGCAGGCCCCAGCTGGGAAACAGTGACAAAGTACTCCTAGCATTATAACCAATGCAGCAGGAAGTAGTGGTTATGATGCTTTAACTCTTGAGTCAACAAATATATCACATTTGTAAAAGACATTGATATAATAATATAATCTATAATATTATTTAACTAGCACATGTTTTATATCTGTTAAACTGACTATTGTGAACCATCCCTTCAACTTCCTAGCCTGTCAATGTGTTGCAGATACAAAACTACAAACATTCTCCGTGAGATATACATGTGTTTCACCTCATCTTCCATGTTCTCGATGAATGTAAATGGGAAGGTAAAGCCTATGGGTAAATCATCCTGAATGTTTCGACGCTTCTTGAATGTAGCCAAGTAGCTAGCAATATCTTCAAAGAGCTGTATACATAAAACAAATAAAACAGTTAATGTACAGATATTGCTGACACACACACACACACACCGACACTGATATTCAGACACACACTAACACTCAGATAGTGACTCAACCTGACACTTGTACACAGATTTACACTAGCATAACTATGCAACACACTACATTATAATATTCTTCCCAATCTTCTTGCTTATTTCTGCCAGAGAAAGAAAATGTTCTCCCTTAAAACATGTCCTAAAATACTTTGGGCCTCTCTTGCTCTCTGCAAGCTATTGCCTTTTCTGCAGACAAGGTTATAGATAAGAGGTGTTGGATATTTATATATGCATGTATTTGATTAAGCATTTTTCATTGGGGTTTATGTATAAAGATGCAGTTCTCTTGTGTACTGTTTTCATAACCCTACCCATCTTCCCCCGGTCAGACATTTTGTGGTTGTCCAATCACAGACTTCCCAGTGCAGATCAAAAGTATTTTCATGGTCGGTACTGTGTGCAATTGCAGCATCTTGGATTTATCACCACTGAGCTAACCAAATCAGGAAGTAACAGAACCTGATGTCTGCTTTAAAACCTGGGGGTTTAACAAAGTTAATTTAAAAAAAATTTGAAATTTGCACTTTTAATAAATGAAAAAAAGACGCACTCTTCATACACAAAGTATTTCAAAAAGATAAAGTACTTTAGGGGTCTGGAGTGTCCCTGTAATCATTCCCAGATCTAACAGGAAATATATGATTCTCGTGAAATTTATTTCATTTGAGTCTACCTAGAATTTAGTCTGTTTACTAACCATTGCTATTTGATTGACATACATCCTCACCTTTTTCATACTTTGCTGCTCAATTGTTAACAAACTTGTAAAGTGTATCCTACAGTTACATATCAAATTGCCACTCAAGACATTCCGATTACCTGCGTTTTGGGGATAGAGAAATTTTCACTTTCAATTTCTGGATTGTTACGACCGTCAAGTTTCACCTGAGAGATTTGGAATGTGTCTTGTTTCAGTTCCAGCACCAAGAAAGTGCCTTGTTCTGTAGATTAAAGGAATTAAATAATAAATCAAATCTACAACAACAATACTTCTAAGATAGCTTTAATTTTATTCTCAGAGGAAGAAACAAGAACCTTTTTCATAATCCAGAACTTCGATTAACAAGCAATTTTTTGATCAGGGTGTCTATCTACATGCATTAGAATCCACAAGTCTTATTATCCTAACAGCAGTTATGTACTGTATGACATGCTACATTTGTTAAGCTGCACCATAGAATGGTTTAACATCACATGACTAAGTTTTACTTGGTCAATGAAGAGGACGCGCCTCTAGGCGCTAGGGGGCAATGTAAACCCTATCCAAAAACTCTAAATAAAACTGCAATGTTGCAGGGTGAAAAAGACAGGGTCACTGAACCCAGACCACTTCACTGAGATTGAAGTGGCCTGGGTGACTCTAGTGTCCCTTTAACAAAAGGGCTTTTCTTAATTCGATCTATCAGCGGTTTAGCAGATAACTCCCTAAACTGGTACTTTTGTTACTTTGTGACTGCTACCTTCATTCATTCCCCACGTGTGCGTCAAAATTTCAGAAATGAACAACATTTTCAGATTAATTTAGTTCTGTCTAAATCAATATTTTTCAAATTTCGGACAAAACAAAATTCTAAATTTAAGGAATCGAAACAAAACCTTTTTTTTCCCCATGCATGTTTTCATTAAGTGCAATACAGTAATGTCAATCTGACATCAGACGTATAATATACACAATAAATTAACCATTTAATTGTGACTATATTAAGAGTTGACCATTACTTAGTATATTCAGTAGTTTGTTTGTTTGCTTAATATAAAGAATGTTATGCACTTTTGGACGTGAGGCTCAGAGCATCACCAGAGTCCAATTAACCTTTTCCTTTAAATTTTACAAGCCACATAATAATTGGCTGCACGTGTGTTCTGCAGGCTTGTTTTTTTTTATTATTATTATTATTATTTGGGATGTAATTCTAAAATAGCTTTACTGGGAAACTGACAGTGCGTAATTGTATTTTCTATTATTTGCATTACCATATCAAACTGTAAGTATTTCATAATAAGCAAATGTATGCTCCTAAACACTTCCTGTAGTTAGTTTGACAGCATGCATTCCCTATATGACAGACAGCAGCCTGTACCAGTACTGTTATGATATAATGGAATTTGCTTGACCCTTTGTCCTGGTGCGATTTAGATTTGATGAAATGCATGTCCTAAAAATGAGTTGAGACTGTCCTCGCTTACCAGTGCCATCTGGGGTTGATGTAACATTAGTGGGAAGCATTTTAAGAGTAGAGGCTTTCTCTGAATTGTTTACCAGTCCCCGCGCCAGGTTTTCCACCATCCGTTCTTTCACCATCTCTAGCTGTTGTGTAGATAGACTAAAGCAATCCAGATGATCATCACGCTGCTTGGATTAAATAAAAAGTGAGATATTTAGCTCCTCTGTAGTCAAGGTTCTGTCAGCATACTCTTTGACCAAGAGTAAGATTTAAACCAAAGGGAATACCAAAAAACTGTCAAAACAAGTCACCAGGTCAACAGTGAAAAACAATACTACCCAAACACAACAATCCTGGCATTATAAATGGTACAACTGAGATTTTCTGGTGAATAATGAAGCATTAGTGTTATGAACTGCACTTATAACTCTTAAAAGGGAAAATATCGAGGGTGGGGTCTGACCGCTGAGCTGTGTGGAAGCAGACTCAAGATTCTCCTGCACCACGGGGCACATTACCCGACTTACCTTCCACTACCTCCAAGTGACCCAAAAAGACACTTACCGAAGCGGTGACAGCGGAGGCTACTGTAGGATACAAAAAAATGCAACGCAACTACTAGCATGGTGGGCGAGTGGGAGACAGCCACTCCCCCACCACCTACAACGACTATAAGCCTGTCTCTGGACCCTTGTGATGGTTTATCCCGGTCCAAGGAAGGCCTCTCCATAGGCTGTGGCGACGGCCCAAGGTAAACAGGATGGCAGAAAGCACCATAGGTCATCTCAACCCGACAATGGAGCCAGACATTACGGCACGGCTAAACCCGGCATTCAAGACCTTCTGGAAGAGCTGCGGATGACCACACAAGCTCCAATCAAGATCACACTGCAGGTGCTACCCTCCTGCTCCAGCTATAAAGGCACACCTGGTAAAGCAATATGCTACAGAAAATGGCGCCATAGACGAAGTTGCATCCCATTGATTGGGAAACCCACTCGTCGGAACCCACATGTGACTACTGTGCAAGAAGCAAACAGCCTCACCCAGGCACACCAGCATGCACAGCTCCACACCTTGAATGGCCTGCACACAGAGCCCCACTGGGTCCGGCCACCAACGTCATCAATCCCTGGTAACCTTTCAGCACGCCTCTACTGCTGAGAGCAGATGACCCTGTCTTCGGGACACCCAGGAAGGGAATCTAGGTCAGGTGAGTCCCTATGTGGGCTGCAGAACGGGAAAGAGATCCAAGATGGCATAGGCTGAAGGGACACAAGGTCTTTAACGTTTAGACTTTAAGAGACCTGGCTTAAACTCACAGCTCCAGCATCTCAGTCAGGTTCTCTGCCGTGCGGTCCACCCGGGTGCTTCAGTTTATGTTTGCATTATTCTGCTTCCTGACCCCTTGCCTGGATTAAACAGTGCTGATCCACCTGTAGCCCTTTTCCAATTAGGGTCAGCTGCATCTAATTAGCAGGCTGTAAAAGCCACCCCTGCCTGAAACCTACTATCTAGTCATTTTGCCTGTATGGTGCTTCCTGCCGGATCTTTGCTACACTACTGACTGATTTCCTGGACTCTGACCTCTGCCTGCTTTACCGACTACATTACTCCACTGCCAGCCCTGACTTCTGCTTCTCGTCTGACCCTGCCTTTGGATTACCCATTTATCTGTACTGTGTTTTTGGATTTTGTCTCCTCCTTGTGCCATCTCCTGCAACTGGGCTCCAACTCCTGGTAAACTGTTCCATAAGTCCCCAGGTGACTGTTACACTCCTCAACAGCCCCATCCATGGAAGGCACCATGGCCAATCCGCCCTCACGAGAATCACACTACTTATTTTGTATTGGGGCTCTTGTTACAATTTTGCACCCTGTTCTTCCAAAGCATTAAAACCCTGTTGCTACGTATGCCCACACATTTTCCAGCCCTCAGAAAGCCCGAGGCCGCAGCGGAGTGGGGGGACTCCTGCATAATGAAAGCTGGTAATGTTGGCTGTGCTAGCAAAGTTAACTCTTGTTATTGAATGATATGAACAGCCATGTATTGTCTTAGTTAAGCTTGCTTGATATACTCTTATACAGCAGCATGTCGCTAATCTCTTATGCACGTTAGAATCTCTTATTAAGACCACTTATATGGTCAGTTAGCATAAACAGTTTTGAAACCACTTCTGAACACTCACCACTGACATAGCTATACAGCTTCGTTAATTAGTCTGTACCTAACCTCAATATACCTACTAAAAATTGTGCCGTTACCTAATGCCATGCAACTGTGAGTGTTTACCATGTATTGTTTCACTAGTTTGTACTTGCTGTTGTGGCAACTCAAGCACTTCTGAAACTCTTGGCACTACAAAAATAAAGATTGACAAAAGGGAAAATATCACGAGAAATTAACCTTAGATATGTCACAGTGAACAACAGTTAAAATAGGATACTTTATTAAGTGGTATAGACATTTCATTTTTAAAATAAATTATTTCATTTTGTCTCCTACATGTGACTTCCCTAAAAATATTTCAATGAACAGTTCCGGGTAATTGCTCCGATTTTAGAAATATTCATTATACACAAATTACATTGTCATTTTGGTTAGTTAATTGTGACTATATTTTTGTATACCTTGGTACAGCGTGTGACGTTTCCTTATTTTGCTCTTTGTAGTCTTCTTTACTCAAAAGGTACCAACCTTTTTTCATTTATTTCTAAACTCATAAAATATTTTTTTGTACAGTATAATAATTTAGCAGTGGGATTATTGCCCGTATATTTAATAAATTAATTAACTGTAAGTGATTCCCTTTATTTATTGTCTCATAAAAGATTTACAGGACCAGTAATGCCATACGTAGTTTTTGCTAGTCAAAGAGGCTATTAATTCTGCAATGGTGGATTGTCACCAACCAAATGGCTGGTTAAATTCTGTAAATAATTTGACTTCAAGAATATCAGCTGAGCTAGTCATAGCAGCTGGATTAGACAGACTCTTCTAGCTGCCCACTGGTATTGGTCGGCGATTTGGCATTTAACGTACATTTTCATTTTTAACAA